AGAAAAGAGCGTTTGAAACAACGACCTTTGCGGGAGTCGTTTAGAATAGGAAAGGGCGTCCCTTAAGCCACGTGTCCGTTTTGTCTCTATAGCGTCAGGGTTCTCTACAAAGCTGTGCCCCACAAGGGGGGGGGCGCGCGGGCCCTTCCTTCCAGGCCGTGCGCCCCCCCACCCGCCCCCACCCCGCTCCCTCACTTCTCAGGTCAGCCCATCCCAGGAATGCAAATTGAGGGGGAGGGTCCCCAGTGTTCCAGGGTTTTTTTGGGGGGGGTGATACCTGGGACACCGCCCCCCCCTCAGACGCCACGGCTGCTTTCTTTTTTCCGGGGGGGGGGTGTGGGAGGGGGAGGAAATGAAGTCACGCATAGGAATTTTTTCTCGTTCTCGGAAGCCCCCCATCTTATTTCCCAGTGCAATTTCCCAGTCATAGGAATATGTGTGTGTGTGTGTCTTGTGTGTCTGTGCTCGCTAATTAATAAAATGAAAGTCGGGGTGAGGAGAATAAGCGTCTTCTTGTTTCTTCTGTCTCGGAATAATAAAAAAAAAACTGCCCAGCAACTCCACAATCTCCTCCTTTGAGTGACCAAAGTAACAACGGCGCTAGGGGGGAAAAAAATGGACTTACGGCCGTTTTTCACACTTAGGACCGTTTGCAGCATCCTGTTCTGACCCAAACCGGGTTCCCAAAGAGCAAACACAGACAAAGCCAGCAGCCCCCGCCGTTTTAAGGTTTATTAACGAATGCTTTACCGAGAAAAGGCTGAGATAAGAACTAATTTACAAGATGTCCACCCGTCGAGCTTCAGAGCTTCGTTGCTTTCTGCAAAGAACACTTTTATCAAACCTGGCTTTTATCCTCTTGAGGAAGGGGCCATTACCTCGCAGCCTTACCTTCCCGAGATGCCTGTGCTGCTGTAACTGTTCTTTCCTCCGAGTAATCCTTCGTGCACACAGACTTGGCACAGGCTCCTCGGGAAACTCCTCATTGCTGCTGCCAGCCCCCACAATCTCTGAAGGCAGCAGTCCACTCCCGGATGGTCCCGGCCCCTCATCATTCTTCTCAGCCGTCCGCGCCTGCTGCCGGCTAACCACAACACATCCAGACTTGGCTACCGGTTCATACAGGCAGTCCTCAACCGCAGTTTGTTTAGTGACCGTCCAAACTTAACAATGGCATCGAAAAATGTGGCTTAGGACTGTTTTTTTCCCAAAGTTACGGCCTTTGCAGCCTCCCCATGAAGAGGTGATGCAAATTCAGACACTGGACAACTGAATCGGATTTATGACGGTGTGTAGTGTCCCCAGGGGGTGAGCGTGATTTCCCCCTTTGGCGACCTGACAAGCAAAGTCAACGGATTCACTTAACGACTGTATCCCTAACAACGTGGCGATCCACTTAATGGTGGCAAGGATGTGTGCGTCGTCAAACAAGGTAAACTCGCTTAACCAATGTTTCACTTAGCAACCTCAATTTTGGGCTCAACACTTGTGGTCATAACTCAAGGACTGCCTGAATGGGTGACGGTCAGGGTGTCTCAGAGTCCTGGGATCACTTTTCTCAGCCTGCTGACAAGCAAAATCCGAGGATAGGTGGGGGTTCAATTAGCAACCGTGTCCCTAACTTAACATCTGCAGTAATATTCACTTGGGCAAGAACGGTTGTAGAATGAGGCAAAACTCACTTCACCGTCTCACTTAGCAACATAAATTTGGGGCTCAACGGTGGTCGTAAGTTGAGGATTGCCTGCGTTTTTCCAGGTGGGGTGGGGAAGGGGCAATAAAAGACCTCAAGGCGAAGTTGCAACTACAGTAGTCCTCGATGTACAACGGTTTGCTTAGTGACCGTTCCAAGTTACAACAGCACCGGAAAAAAAATGACAATGACTTCAGTTTTTCACACTTAATGACTGTTGCTGCATCCCCAGGGTTGCGTGATCAAAATTCATATGCTTGGCAATTGACTTGTATTTACGACGGTCACAGTGTCCCGGGGGATGATGACGTCCCCTTTTGCGACCATCTGATGAGCAAAATCAACGGGGAAGGCAAGACTTAATGACCGTTTCTCACCCTTACGACCGTTGCAGCGTCCCATCCAAAACTCAACCCTTGGCCAGTGACTCCTATTTACGACGGTTTCAGCGTCCTGAGGTCACGTGACTCCCCTTCTGCGACCTCCCCGCCAGCCAAAATCAACGGGGGAAGCCCGATTCACTTAATGACCATGTAACTAACAACGGCAGGGATTCGCTTAACGAATGTGGCAAGAAAGGTCTTGAAAGGGCCAAATTCCCTTTAACAAATGTCTCACTGAAACCACATCAATCTTGGGCTGAATTACGGTCGTAAGCCAAGGACTAAATGTATGCGATGGAAGGTGGTTGCGGCTGCTAGCTTGACATTAAAGAACCTTCCAATCAATCCTTTTTCTGTTCTTTTAATGATTAATCGATATTTGTTCATACAGAAACACATCTCCTTTTGATGATAGTCTTTATTTATTTATTGAAATAAAATTAAAAGTCTCTTAATGGCTGCAGTGATTTGTTTAATGACAGGAAGAGGTTGTAAAATGGGGGGGGGATGAGTTGACGTCATTTGAACAACTGCCTTACTTAGTAACCAAAATTCTGGTCCAATTGTGGTCGTATGTCAAGGACAAGGCAGGGGGCACCACCCTTCTCTGTGGGGTCCTTGGTGCTCCCTGAGCTAGCTGGTTCTTTTAAAAGACGTTTCATTACCGAACTAGCTAACATCATCAGGGCTAGAAAGGAGAAGGGTTGGATGTCATTTTTTTGTACTGTTATCTTCTCTGCCTGCCTGATCCAAAATGCAACACAATCTGCCTTCTGGCACGAGCAGGTTGGTCTTTAGCAAATCCTCCGCCTGGCCTCAAGTGCCTGTTTGCAGCTCCTAGTCAGTTTCCAACGCTGCGGCGAAAGACAAAGGAAGATATCAAAAGGAGAAAAAAAATCTTCCTTCTCCAGTTATAAACCTCGGCTCTTTCTTTTCTTCCCGGCTGCTTTGATCCCGGATCTTGCCGGGCTTCCGAAGGCGTGACCCGCCGTGTTAATTTTGGAACACAGACCAAATCGGCAAGCGATCTGCAGGGAAATTTCTGTCTCGCTTCCTGGCCCGGCACGGGTTTCGCGCCGTGTGATCAGCGCCTCACGTTGCCAAGGAATCAGATGGCAGCTTTTTTAAAAAATAATTAAAAACATGAATAAAAATAAAACCAGTCCAGAATAACCTAACCGTTGGGTTAAGTGAGTCGGGGAAGGGCAGGAAGAAAGGCGGGTGACTCGTGGTTACCGACAACCACCAACCAAGGTTGGTTTGGTCTTGGCCAAGGGCGGATCTTGTCCCGTTAACACCATCAAAAGTGAAGCAACAAGATTGTTGCACGCAGAGGAAACAATTGTGCGATCTTTGTGAGTAAGGCGGCAGCTAGGTTGTTACTGGTGGAAATTTGCAGCTCTAAAAGAACAGCAGTTTTCAGCCCCCCCCCCCCCCCCCCCAAGCTGGCTATTATACAGGAAGTCCTTGATTTACAGCCGGTCTCGTCCCAAAGGTGCTTTTTTGAAGAGGAAGCTGGACTTCCTAGCTTTTCTTGGAAGATGTTTCACTTCCCATCTGAGAAGCTTCTTCAGCTCTGACTGCATGGTGGAGAACGGGAGGATTTATGTACGCCTTGCAGACAGCTGGTTATTTGCATCCTTTTAAAGAGTCGTTGAGGCCACTTGGGGGTTTATCTGTGTCCTCGGGGTCATCTGAGTGGTGCAAATGGATACAGATAAACTTCCAAGTGGTCTCAATGACCCTCCAGATGCAAATGACCATCAGTCTCCTTGCAGACCGCTGGTCATTTACATTTGCATCCTTTTAGAGGGTCATTTGATTTGATTTGATTGATTTGATTTGTCAATCGCTTACAAGATAACAGGTATAAGTATAAACATAGTTATGAATGCATGAAATGGGTACATATAAGAAAAATAAAAGAAACAATAGGACAGGGACGGTAGGCACGTTGGTGCACTTATGCACGCCCCCTACAGATCTCTAAGGAAAGGGGTGAGGTCAATAGTGGACAGTCTGAGGTTAAAGTTTTTGGGGTTTGGGGAAGAAACCACAGAGTCAGGTAGAGTATTCCAGACATTGACCGCTCTGTTGCTGAAGTCGTATTTCCCGCAATCAAGTTTGGTGCGGTTAACCTTGAGTTTGTATCTATTGTGTGCCTTTTTTTTGTTTTGTTTTTACTACCCATTGGGTAGCGAATTTTGCTACCAGTTCAGCATTCCACCACTGCAGCATCCGTTTCCCTCCTTCCCCAAGGCCATTCATACGTTCCACTATACTCAGGGGTGGGATTCTACCAGTTCCCACCTATTCGCTAGAACCGGTTGGTAACATTCTAAGCATTTCGGAGAACTGGTTGTTGGAAGAAATTTTTACTGGTCTAATCCTGTAAGGAAGGCAGGAAGGAAACATTCTGGTGTTGCTTACAGAAACTGCCTCTCCATTAATCCTTATTCCATTCTTGGCAGGACTAGACTTCCTGTCTCAGGAAATTCTCTGGAGTTTTCTTTCCCTCCTTTGCAGGTACTTTGCTTGTGTGGAGTGACCATTCAAAGTTACCATGGCACTGAAAAAAGTGACTTGTGACCATTTTTCACACTTACGACTGTTGCAGCATCTCCACAGTCACGAGAGGCCAGGTGAGGAGACGCGTGCTTCTATGTGAGCGATATTGAGATGGCCACACCCAACCAATAACATGACCATCAAGCCACGCCCACCAACTAAGCCACGCCCACAGAACCGGTTGTTAAAAAAAATGGAATCCCAACCCTGACTATACCAATAGACCCAAATGCTGCTACTGCTACCCCAGAAAATAAAATAAAATAAAATAAATCGGGACGTTAGAACTAGGAGGACATCTGAGACAGCGAAACTTCTGAGCTGGCTTCGGGACTTGGATTTCATCCTCGGAAAGCTGTCACGTGTCGGGATGGGGGTGGAAAACCCCGCGCCAATGCTTTGGACGCCTTAGAAGGGAAAGCAGCCAAACCGTGGGGGGCTGAAAGCAGCAGTTCACGAAAACGCGGAGGGAAAAATCATCCGAACAGATGCCTCCCGAGGCTGTTTGGAGCTGGCCTGAAAACCAGCCGCTTCCTGACGTAACCGAACGTACAAGACGCGGCAGAAGCCATCTGAACAGGAGAGGGGGAAATAAGTCGATTCCCGCTTTACCCTTCCTGCATTCGTTATCAGTTTCTTACAGATTACGTTTTATATTCCTGATTAAGTTCAAATGAAAGAGGGCAGAGTCCCTTTTCTGGACTCTTGACCCTTCGCGAGAAAGATTACACAGCTAGTCCGCGACTTAACAACAGTTCATTTAGTGACGCCGGTCAAAGCCGCGATGGCACTCAGAAAAGAAAAACGACTGTTTTCACACTGACGACCGTGGCGGCAGCATCCCGCGATTTACATTCCGATGCTCGACAGCGGAGCCGTATTTTACGACCCCGATCCCCTTTTACGACCACCCGAGAAGTCCTGGGCAGGGCAGATTCTCTTTTAACAACCACGTTACTAACTTAACAACTGCGGTGGTTCACTTAGCCAGAGTGGAAAGGAAAGTTGTAAAATGGGGCAAACTCGCTGAAACGTTTCACTCGGCAACGGAAATTGGGGGGGGGAGTCGATTGCGGTCGTAACTTGAGGACTACCTGTACTTCGGAAGGTGCAAAGAACATTTTTCACTCATCCTCACTACAAACCAGATGAATAGAAATCTCAGAAGCCAAAAGGCTTTTGGGGGGGGGGGGGGAACAAAAGAAAATTCAGATTTCAACCTCCATCTTCCCTGTAATAAAAACACAGGAAGCCCTTAGTTCTACAAGGGATGTGGGGTGTGACCCACTTTGCAACAGCTCTTCACAACCACAGATCTCTGTTTGTCAACTCATAAAATATTTCTATGGTCTTTTTAGAGTGGCCAGCAGAAAGGGAGGGGGGAGCAGCGCGGCAGCTTTAGAAACCGAAACTGCATTCCGTAAATGTTTTCAAGGATAGTTTCTAAGTGACCGAAGTGTCTGCCGTGCAAAATTCTAACTGGAGAGCATGACTGATGACTCTGGGCTATGGAGGTGTCCCATTGGAGGATATGAATTAGGATACACCCAGCGGGTGGGCGGGGGGGATGTGTCTCAGAGTCGGCTACACCCAGGCAGCGCCAGCATGTTTGCTCCTAATCTTCTTTAAGTTTTGGACGTTCGGCTCGAGACTCGTGATTTAAATGGGGAGCCCTGACACTATTGTGACCCCCACCATCCTGGAGAATTCCTCCCCCCCCCCAATTTAAAAATGGAAGAGGGGAATTGGGGCTCGGCTAGTCTTTCTCAGGGGGGTCCCCAAATACCCCGAGAGGATTCAGGCCCCCCCTTGCTCTCTCACGCTGTGACTCTCATCCTCATTTTCCCCGTCCCCCTGAGTAGGAGAGACGCAGTCCTGCTGCACACACACAACATGCACACAGCCTCCCCTTCCTGGCTTAGTCCCCAGGGAGCCCAGCGAGGGAGAGGAAGCAGCCGGACGGAAGGTCACAGCTCCTCCGTCTGTTCCAAGACCCCATTTCCAGGCTGCTCCGATTCAGTCCATGCCACCGAGGTCACATTGGGGCCTGCGTAGGGAAGCTCAGGCCGGAGTCCTTCCAAAGGGGCAGGTGGACCGCCTTCTGCGAAGACCTCCTCGGTGTGGTTGCCTGCCGGGGTCTCTCCCTGCTTCTGAGGCCTCACGAGGTCTCTGATCAGAGGGCTGGCGGCCTCGTCTTCGCTGTGAGCCCCGAGAGCTGGCTCCTTCCAGATGCTCTCCTTGGCGCTCTGTTCGGCCTCCTTGCTCAGGACGTTGGCGATTCTGGACGATGCGTCGTTGTTGAGGGACCTAGAAAAAACTGGGAGGGGAGGGGACACACGGAGCATGAGTGAGACACACAAAGGATCGGGGGAATTGCAAAGGACGCAGAGGTGGGTCTCCAGCAGGTTCCGACCAGGTCCGGAGAACCGGTGGCGGAAATTTTGAGTAGTTCGGAGAACTGGCCAATCCCATCTCTGACTGGAGGTTTTGCAGTATCCTTCCCCTACCAGGGCTACCAAGCCACACCTACAGAACCGGTGGTAAAATAATTTGAATCCCACCACGGGAAGGATGGGTTCTTAAGGTCTCTCTCTATATATATATCTATATATATATACAATCTATTTATTTGCAGATGGAACATTTATAGCTCTTGGGGCTGGGTGGGAAATGAACCTCTCTACTTTTTCGATCTATCCATCTATCCATCTATATCTATCTATCTAATTATCTAATTATCTATCTATCTACCTATCTATCATCTATCTATCTATCTATCCTCTCTCTCTCATCTATCTATCTATCTATCTATCTATCTATCTATCTATCTATCTATCTATCATCTATTTATCTATCTATCATCTATCTATCTATCTATCTAATTATCTAATTATCTATCTATCATCTATCTATTTATCTATCTAATTATCTAATTCTGTCTATCTATCTATCTATCCTCTCTCCTATCTATCTATCTTCTATTTATCTATCTATCATCTATCTATCTATCTAATTATCTGTCTATCTATCTATCTATCATCTATCTATTTATCTATCTAATTATCTAATTATCTATCTATCTATCTATCTATCTATCTATCTATCTATCTATCCTCTCTCTCTCTTCTATCTATCTATCATCTATTTATCTATCATCTATCTATCTATCTACTTATCTAATTGTCTATCTATTATCTATCTATCCTCTCTCTCTCTTCTATCTATCTATCTATCTATCTATCATCTATTTATCTATCATCTATCTATCTATCTAATTATCTATCTATCTATCTATCATCTATCTATTTATCTATCTATCTAATTATCTATCTATCTATCTATCTATCTATCTATCTATCTATCCATCCATCTATCTATCTATCTATCTATCAAAGCAGAGATGGGATTCCACCGGTGTTACTACCGGTTCGGTGAGAGTGAGTTTTGTCCGGCTGTGGAATTCTGAGAGTTGAAATCCACAAGTCTAAAAGTTGCCAAAGTTGGACATCGCTGCTTTTTAAGGTATTTAAAGTCCGGGCTGCCCTTTGGCCGGGCAAAATTCACACAAATAAGGAACTTCAAGATTTGACTCTGTGATGTAAGCAGAAGTTATCTATAAATTCTTCAGATCCATTCCGCCCCCCCCCCCCGCCTCACTTGGGAGATTAGTTTGTATATTTGTGTCTAAATGTTTCTCATGAAATAAAGACATGGTTGTCTTCAGCACATTCCTCTCCTTGAAGAACGGAATTCTTCAATGGACTTGGGATTTGAAAGAAGTCAAAGAAAAGTCAGGCAAAAATCCGCCGAAGAAAAGTTGGACTCTTTGTCCCAAAGGTGCTTTTTTTTTTTTTCAGGAGGCAGCTGGACTTTCTGGTTTTCCTTTTTGAAGACATTTCACTTCTCATCCAAGCAGCTTCTTCCGCTCTGACAGGATGGTGGGGAAATGGAAGGATTCATACTCCTTGCAGACAGCTGGTCATTTGCATCCTTTTGGAGGGTCCTTGAGGCCACCTGGAGGTTTATCGCTGTGTCCTCAGGGTCACCTGAGGAGTGCAAATGGTCCCTGTGGTCTGCAATTCATTCCTCTGGAAATCCATTCCTCCTCCCACACCATCCCAAGGGTGCTCATCCCAAATTGCATAGCTAAAAGTCCATTCTCCACCATCCTGTCAGAGCTGAAGACGCTTCTTAGATGAGAAGCGAAATGTCTTCAAAAGAAAAAGAAAAAAAACCCAAGAAAGTCCAGCTGCCTCCTGGAAAGGAACCTTTGGGACAACCATGGTCTGGATGATGGAGAATCTTTACAGACTTTTAGCTATACAATTTGGGATGAACACCCTTGGAATGGTGTGGGAGAAAAAAAAAATTGCAGACTACGGGAACCATTTGCGCTACTTAGGTGACCCTGAGGACACTGATTAGCCTCCAAGTAGCCTCAACGACCCTCTAAAACAGGGGTCTTCAAACTCGATCTCTTTAAGACTTGTGGACTTCAACTCCCAGAATTCCTCCTCCTCCAGTCAGGTTAGCTCAGGAATTCTGGGAGTTGAAGGCCACAAGTCTTAAAATGGCCGGTGTTGAAGGCCCGCCCCCCCATATTAGACCAGGGCCTTCAAACTTGACAGTTTTAAGACTTGTGGACTTCAACTCCCAGAATTCCTCCTCCTCCAGTCAGGTTAGCTCAGGAATTCTGGGAGTTGAAGTCCACAAGTCTTAAAATGGCCAACGTTGAAGGCCCGCCCCCCCATGTTAGACCAGGGGCCTTCAAACTTGACAGCTTTAAGACTTGTGGACTTCAACTCCCAGAATTCCTCCTCCTCCAGTCAGGTTAGCTCAGGAATTCTGGGAGTTGAAGTCCACAAGTCTTCAAGTTGCCAAGTTGGAAAACCCTGGCTCTAAAAGGATGCAAATGACCAGCTGTCTGCAAGGAATATCAATCCTTCCATCTTCCACCATTCAGTCAGAACTGAAGAAAGCTTCTTGGATGAGAAGGAAAACGTCTTCACAGAAAAAAAACCTCAGAAAGTCCCGTTGTCTCCTGAAAAAAACAAAACAAAACAAAAAGCAAGTTTGAGACAACCCTGACTTGGGTGACGGAGAATCTCTACAGGTGTTGGGCTCTTCGACGGGATTCGTCATTAAATTTCCTGCCATGATGCCAACTGTTTGAGGCTGAGAGAGAGAACCCCCCCCCGTTCAGAGCCTTCCCTCTGCCCAGGTGCCCACCTACCGACACAGCCCCCTTGCTCACCTCGCACAGGTACGAAGTCACCTGAGGTCTCGGCTTTGTTGCGGGTGAAAGGCCCGATAGACGGGAAGATGATCAGCGCAAAGGAGAGAAGCAAGACCTGAGGAGGACATTAAGAAAGACGCCGGTAGCTTTCTTGAGCAGAGGGTATGGACCTCCAAAGTCCCTGCCAACTCTGCTATTCTGTCCTTACAGGTAGTCCTTTGTTTTAGTGACCGTTCAAAGTTAAACGGTCCTGAAAAAAAGAGACTTTAGGACCATTTTTCGCACTTATGACCATTGCAGCATCCCTGCGGACGCGCAATGTATATTTTCGGATGCTTGGAAACTGACTCACGTTGATGACGGTCACGGGGGTCACGGGGTCCCTTTTTGTGATCTTCCCACAAGCAAAATCAATGGGGGGAGTCAGATTCACTTAGCGACGGGTTTACTAATTTAAGAGCTGCCACGGTTTGCTTAGCCAATGCAGCGAGGAAAGTGGGGAAATGGAGCCAACTCACTTCACAAATTTCTCACTTAAACATAAATTTCTGGGTTCGGTTGTGGTCATAAGTTGAGGACTATCTGTATTCTGTTATTTTTCCCTTAGGGGACTGGAGACTAAAGCATACGAAGGGACAGTTGCAGGAATTGGGGAGGTCTAGTTCAAATCTCTTTTCCCTGATGGGCAGGGGTGGGATTCTCCCGGTTCGGATCGGTTCTATAGAACCGGTTGTTAAGATTCTGCGCAGTTCGGACAACAGGCAAATTGTGCCCTCGGCTGGCCCTGCCCCTCTCTGCCTGCCCCTCCCCTCACCACCCAGTCAGCCCTTATCGCGCATGCGCAACATTTCGCGCATGCCCGACATCGCTGACTGCCTTCTCCCCTGCTCAGTCACTCCTTAAGGTATTTCTTTTTTCCTCTCCCGACGATCAGCTGTTCCGATGATCAGCTGTGCCGGGATTCCCCTTGCTGTCTTACTGCTTCGCCTGGGAGGCAAAAAATGGAGGGTGAGGAGCAATAACGCTCCCCCAGGAGGCTTCCCTGAGGCCCAGAAGGCCCCAAAAACAGGGGGGGGGACATTGCAAAAAAAAAAAAAGCCACACCCACCCTGCTACATAACCATGCCCACCTTGCTATGCCCACACAACCAGTTATTGCAAAATTTGAATCCCATCCCTGCCGATGGGGATGTATTTTTTGGTGGGGGGGGGGCAGGAACCAGAAGTAAACACTGGAAACCAACAAAAGAGGTTGTCAATTATTGTGGGATAGTGCAAAAATGACTGGAAAGAAATCCAGACATCTTAAAAATGTCAAGTTTATAAAAATAAAAAACCCACTATTTTAGAAGCCATTGCAGTTAAACTGCCTGGAAAAAAAAAAGAAAAATAATGGTTAGGCGCCATGACTTCAATTCAGGTAGTCCTCGACTTACAACAATTCATTTAGTGACTGTTCCAATCTGCAACGGCCCTGGAAAAAAAAGTGACTCACGATCACTTTTCACACTTATGACCCTTCCAGCATCCCCAGGGACACGTGATCAAAATTCAGACGCTGGGCAACCGACTCATATTTATGACGGTGGAAGTGTCCCGGGGTCAATGGTCTCCTTTGGGGACTTTCAGACAGGCAAAATCCATGGAGATGCCAGATTCCTTTTATCATCTAACTTACTGCAGTGATTCACTTAATCACGGTGGCAAGAAAGCTCGTCAAAAATTCATGTGTCCCCCGTCTCGCTTAGCGAGCAGAAATTTGGGGGGGGGCTCAGTTGCGGTCGTAAGCTGAGGACTCCCCATATCTACACAACCCCTGACATACCGCCACGCAGGTGCTGGTTTGTGCAGCTTTGCCGCTGGATTGCATCACGATGCCCTGGAGTTTCTTGAGCTGCTGCAGAAGAGACCTGGGGAAGAGAGGAGGAGGAGGAGGAGAAGGAGGCCTTGGTCAGGATTTTGAGGAGCAGCGGGTGAATTCAGGAAATTCAACAAGGGCAGAATTTCTCCTATTTGATTCAGTGAATGCCAAGCATGCTGGAGTGTGTGTGTGTGTGTGTGTGTGTGTGTGTGTGTGTGTGAAAGTGTTGGGGAGGTGGGGAATGGCCAGGAAAGAAACAGAGCTGTCCCGGAAGAGCTCATCTTTTATGGGTCTAGGACAGGGGTGTCAAACTCCGTGTCAACTCATAAAAAACCTTCCTAGGCCTGTTTTAGAAGTTGCCATTTAAAACAAAGTGGGGGTGTGTGGAGGGGGAAGGAAATCTGGAAGAGGAGTTGCAGCAGTTTGGAAGCGGAAATACATTTCCATCTCTTCTCTTTAAAAGACTGTGACTCAAATACCAGGGCTTTTGCCCGCGGATATATTTAATTGGAGAATGTGATTGATGACACCCAGCCTATGAAGGTGCTCAGTTGGAGAACCTGATTGATGACACACCCGGGGGAGGGGGGGGGGAAATAGGGTCTCAGGGGACTGTAAATGACGTAGGCCAGAGTTGGCTGCATCCAGGGCAGGGGCGGCAGGTCGCCTCTAATGAATCCTTTGAAGTTTTTTTGAAGTTTGGCTCGAGAATCATGATTTAATGAGGGCGATTGCTGGAATCCTAACACTCAGTTTCATTGAGGGATGTGGTTGACCTCGGGGGGGGGGGGGCTGGCCGACTGGGTGGGTGTGGCCATCTTGATGTCACTCAGTGGGCGTGGCTGACTGGGTGGGTGTGGCCAGCTTGACCCCACCCCCTAAACTGCTGGCATGTTTCCTCTTCGCACTGGGTAGACTGGGCCAAAGGGATGCGGGCCAGCCCCAGACATTTTCCCAGACGGCCCCAGTAGGCCGGATATGACCACAGTGATTGTGTCTTGTGTTTGACACACCCTTGGTCGAGGACAATTCGCCACAGGCAACTCACTGCGGCCAACTCACCACGGTGGGACAATTTGCCACGGCCAACTTTGAAGTCTATAGCTAGAAGGGACCTCGGAGGTCTCCTAGTCCAGCCCCTGCTCAAGCAGGAGACTCTATACTATTTCAAACAAATGGTTGTCCGGTCTCTTTTTACAAACCTCCAGTGTTGGAGTACCCACAACTGCTGGTGGCAAGCAGTTCCACTGGTTAATTGTCCTGTTAGGAAGTTTCTCTTTAGTTCCAGGTTGCTTCACTCCTTGATTAGCTACTATCCGTTGCTTCTTCTCCAGGTATTTTGGAGAATAGCTTGACTCCCTCTTCTTTGGGGCAGCCCCTCAAATGTTGGAAGGCTGCTATCCTGTCCCCACTAATTCTTCTTTTCTGTAGACTGGCCAAACCCAAAACCTGCAACCATTTTTCATATGTTTTAGTCTCCAGGCCTTTGATCATCTTAGTTGCTCTTCTCTTTATCCAAATCTCAACATCTTTTTTGTAAAGTGGGTGACCAAACTTGGTTGCAGGATTCCAGGTGTGGCCTTACTAGGGTTTTATAAAGTAGTACTAACTTACTTCCTGTGGGACATCTTGCCCCGGGACAAAAAAATCATGTCATATTGAAAAAAAACATGTTGGCCGTGAAAGGCCACCAAAGAAGGGACGAAACGAAAGGCGAAGGACAAAAAATCAAAACTGTTTTTTAAAATTATTTTGAAGATAATGAGATAAAATTGCTAAAACTGTCTCGCCGCAAGCGGTCCAGCGGGAAGTTGGCCATGGTCCAGCTGGCCACAGTTGAGTTGGCCGTGGTGAGTTATCCCAATCTCAGTTTTTTAAATTCCCTCCCATGGTGGGTCATTGCTTAAAGTTTACATTCCATTTTCCAACTTGGGAGCATAATCAAGAAAACGAAATTGAAATGGCATTTCAATGTATGCGCTCTCTGCATACGGGCAGCCCTCAATTTGCAACTTTCATTCAGCAACCGCTTGAAGTTACAACGGCATTGAAAAGAGCGGCTCACAACCGGCTCCTCGCACTTATGACCGTTTGCAGCATCCCTCACAGTCTCGTGATCACAATTCAAATGCTTGGTAAGTGGTGTGTATTTATGGCGGGGTCACGCGATCACCGTTTGGGACCTTCTCAGCTGCCTTCTGACCACCCTAAATTCGTGGGAGGAGCCAGATTCATTTAACGATGGCCCCCTCCCCAGAAAAGGTCGTAAAATTGGGCGCAACTCACTGGACAAACTGCCCTGCCTATTATCAAAGGAAATTCTGCTCCCGATCGTGGGCTACCTGGATTCAGGCCTATTTGGAACCGTCACCAGATTGCCGCCTTGACAAAAGACACTTGGCGGTGGACAACTTACAAGTTCTGCTTCTCCAGGTGAACCACTTTTCGCTGGAGCTCCTGATTTTGAGCTGTGCAAGCCGACATCCTGAAAAGCAAAAACGCCAACGGAGGTGAAATGGAGAGGGATGGGTTTATTTTCCCAGATGGGTTTATTCGGCTTTTAAAGTTTTCCAGCCTGACGTAATTTGTAGAAAGGAGAAACTGATCGATCAATCGATCAGAATAGAGTGGGAAGGGACCTTGGATAGAATAGACCAGGGGTCGCCAACCTTTTGAACCTCAGGGACCACCAAACTCATAATTTTAAATCCCAGGGACCACTAACCGGTTCTGTGGCTGTGGCCTAATTTGTGGGTGTGGCTTGGTGATCATGTGACTGGCTGAGCCTGGCTTGTATGTAAATATTATAAATATTTACATAAGTATTGATTTTTTTTATTAAAAAAAGAGCAACTTTTACCCAAAATCAGGCAAAGCCGGCAAGCAGATTGAGTTGCTCACAGAATCACAGATTCATTCAGAGATCTATCTATCTGCCATTGGCTAGCTCAGTCTGTCACATAAAATTTGCTTGCAAGCAAACTCACAAAATTAACTCACAACACACCATGTATGTAAATATTGATTTTTTTTTTATTAAAAAAAGAGCAACTTTTACCCAAAATCAGGCAAAGCAGGCAGGCAGATTGAGTTGCTCACAGAATCATTCCGTGATCTATCTATCTGCCATCGGCTAGCTCGGTCTCTTAAATTTGCTTGCCGTGAGTCTGCACTGAATAATAGAACCTTCAGTCCTAAAGGAGGTTCGGCTGTGCTTAAAAGCAGAGCCGAAGATCTAAAGACTAGCTGGAAAGCAAGAAATGCAACCGTTTCCTGCTTCCTAGCTAATCTAAAATCTCCTGGCACAGCAGAACAGATGATGGTCAAAAAAAGGAAAAATAGCAATTTAGCAGGCAAGTTTGCTGGGTAAGGAGCAGACGGGGAGGGTTCCCATGGGCCATGTGGGCTACGCAGCCTTGTGTTTCTGTGCAGCCTGGATTAATTGCTTTGAGGGGGGGTGCTCTGGGGGTGAGATTTCACTGCAGCCCACCAAAATTTTCTCACGGCCCACCCATGGGCCGCAGCCCACCGGTTGGCGACTGCTGGCCTAGACCATTCCAGACAAGGGGCTATCCAGTTTCTTCTCGAAAACCTCCAGTGATGGAGCATCTACAACTTCTAGTGGCAAGCTGTTCTAATTGTCCTGTGAGAAAGCTTCTCCTTAATTGCAGGTTGCTTCTCTCCTTGGTTAGTTTCCCTCCATTTGTTTCTTGTCTTGATTTCTGGTACTTTGGAAAATAAATTAACCCCCTCCTCTTCGGGGCAGCCCCCTCAAATACTGGAAGACTACGATCAACAGGATGGATCATCATCATCTTCTCTTAATGACCCCGCAATCTGGACGACTGAACGGAGCTGAGCGTTCTACTGGCCGGATGCCTTTCCTGTCACCAATGCGGAGTTTTTCCCCCAGCAGATATATTCTCAGTGTGCCCAGAGAGAGAAATGTCTGCATCGACCCAGGGTCGAATTCACAGCCTCCTGATTGTGAGGCAACAGCGCCACCTCTAGGCTACCGCACCACTCACAAGAGGATGGACCGTGATGGTGCCTAAACAATCTCACCCACCAATGTTGTTTTACAAAACCTGTGTGTTCAGAACGAACAAACTTTCATCCATGTTCTAATCTAGCTTGTTGATGATCCGATCCAACTCCAAAGGAGGAAAGGAAAAATAATAACATACCGGCTTTCTAAACCATCGATGTATTCCTTCCGTTTCTTGCGACTTTCCTGAGCGGATTGTTTGTTCCGGATCTTTCGACGGATCTTCTTGAGAACGCGTTCCTCATACTGCCGATGCAAAGAGAGATTTAGCTATTCGTTTTGTTTTTAAACCATATCCGTTTTTGCATATCGAATTCGAAGAATTTTTGGTCCCTTTGTGAAACAACGTGCAAGGCCCTCAGTCCTTTGAAAAAGTACGCCAATGACTTTCTCATTGTAAAGATAGTCCTTGACTTACCGCAGTTCATTTAGTGACCGTTCAAAGCAACGGCATTGAAAAAAAGGGACCTCTGACCGTTTTTCACACTTACGACCTTCGTAGCCTCCCCATGTATCCTATGATCAAAATTCAGATGCTTCTTCAGAGCTGAAGAAGCTTCTTGGATGAGAAGCGAAACGTGTTTAGAAAAAAAAAAACCTCAGAAAGTCCAGTTGCCTCTTGAAAAAAAAAGCACCTTTGGGACATTCAGATGCTTGGCAACTGACTCACACTTATGACCGTTACAGTGTCCAAAGATCACGCGATCCCCTTTTGCGACCTTTTGACAAGCAAAGTCAACGGGGAAGCCAGGTTTGGGCCCTTGGCATGTATTTAACGACGGCCGCACTGTCCGGGGGCGTCATGTGTGATCCCCATCTTCTCAGCTGGCTTCCAACAGGCAGAGTCAATGCGGGAAGCAGGATGCGCTTAACGGCGGCATAATTCACTTCATAACTGCCTGGTTCGCTTAATAGCCATGGCAAAAAGGAAATGTCTTAAAATGGGACACACACACCCCAAAAAATCACTGAGCAACGGTCTTGCTCAGCTCAGCGATGCCAATTTTGGGCTCAACGTGGTCGCAAGACGAGGACTACCTGTGCTAATTAGCAACCTCTGCTTTCTCAGATTATATTTGAGAAAAAGCCCCAGCTAAACCAGAGGCCTCCAAACTTGGCCACTTTTAAGACTTGTAGACTTCTCCAGCCAGCTAATGCTGGGAGTTGAAGTCCACAAGCCTTCAAAGTGGCCAAGTTTGGAGACCTCTGGCCTAAACGTTACTCACCTTGGTGAGAGGCAGCTGGGTAGGAAGCATCACCCCTTCCTTAGCCAGCAGTTTTTTCTCATCCTCGGTCAGCACCAGCTCCTGACAGGTGCCTGGGGCTTGTCTCACCATCGAGGAGTTGATAGCCTGCTGGTGCTAGAATGTCACGAGGGAAGAATGAAATCGGCATTAGGAAAATGAAATAAACGGGGTTTCTACATCACAGAACAAGGAATAATAGAGTTGGAAGGGACCACGGAGGTCTTCTAGTCCTACCCTGGACCACTCTTGACAAATGGCTGTCTAATCTCTTCTTTTAAAACCACCAGTGATGGAGAACCCACAAGTTCTGGAGGCAAGGAGTCCCACTGATTAACTGTTCTCACTGTCCTTAATTCCAGGTTGCTTTTCTCCTGGATTAGTTTCTATCCATTGCTTCTTGTCCTGCCTTCGGGTGCTTTGGAGAATAATTTAACTCCCTTTCCTTTGTTGCAACCCCTGAGATATGGGAAGACTGCTATCCTGTCACCCCCTAGACATACCCAGTTCCAGCAATCGTTCTTCCTATGTTTCAGCCTCCAGTCCTTTAATCATCCTGGTTGTTCTTCTCTGCACTCTTTCTAGAGTCTCAACATCATTTTTACACTGTGGCGACCAAAACCGGACGCAGAATTCCAAGTGTGGCCTTACCACCAAGGCCTTATAAAGTGATATTAACCCTTCAGGTGATCTTGAGTCTATCCCTCTGTTGATGTAGCCTAGAACTGTGTTGGCTTTTTTGGGGGGCAGCTGCACCAGACGGCTGGCTCAGGGATGGTCTCCCAAATCCCTCTCAAACTTGAGCCAGGTACAACCATTCTACATATGTTTTAGCATCCAGCCCGCTTGGGGCTTGCTGTTGGTTGCTCTTCTCTTTACTTTTTTCCTGAGTCAGATCTGAATTCAGCAGAAAGCGTCTTCAAAAGCGTGTTCTTAGAAATAACCGTAAAAACATGGGTTTATAAATAGCCCCGCCATCATCGTTATTACGGGAGAAATACTTACCATTTCAGAGTTGTTGGAAAGCAGCAGATCCTTAATTGTGAGCATGCAAGAGGGTGGGTTTTGATGGGCGGCATCGGTTATTTGCCTCTCCTCTGGATAAAAACCAGCAGCCCACATATCTGCAAAGAAAATGAAAGAGGGGATCTGTTGGTTTGCGTGCCAACAAAAATCCAGCTTTTCAGTGTACATGGAAATTGCTTTTTGAACAGATAAGATTTGTTCTTCCAGTATCCTATTATCTTATCTGGTTGAGAGCCACTCCTCAAGGGGTCAGTCAGGCCTTTCTGGTTACTTGTTAATCTGAATGCTGGCCGTTGTTTGATAACAACAGAGTTAACTTGAGTGCACACCTGGGTGGAGGAAGAAAATATTCATTTTACACTACAAACCCAAACCCTTTTAGAAGGTATCCCAGGTTTTCTCCTGCAACAACCAGGATCCTACGATTCTAGACAACTCTCCTGCGTCACTTTGCTGCCTAGCGAAAATGTCACACTCACGCCTCTGTTTGACACCACCTGAACTGTTCCAAACTCCCCTTAGCATTTGGGGTCTTGTTGTGTTGCAATGATTACGCAGGTGTTTCTCAACCTTTACAACTTTAAGAAGAGCAGATTTCAACTCTGAGAATTCTGAGTTGAATTCTACTCATCTTATAGTTGCTAAAGTTGAGGAACACGCCGTTTCTCGCAACAGAATAAAAGAGTTAGAAGGGACCTTGGAGATCTTGTAGTCCAACCCTCTACTCATGCAAGTGATCCTATATCATTTCAGACTGGTAGCTGTCCAATCTCTTCTTAAAGGCCTCCAGTGATAGAGTACCCTCAACTTCTAAAGACAAACTGTGTACCACTGATTAATTGTTAGGAAATTTCTCCTTAATTCCAGGTTGCCTCTCTCTCTCCTTGGTTAGTTTCCACCCGTTGCTTCTTGTCCTGCCTTTTGGAGCTTTGGAGAATAGCTTGACTCCCTCTTCTTTGGGGCAGCCCCTCAAATATTATAACACTGTTATTATGTCACCTGCTAGACCAGGGGCCTTCAAACTTGACAGCTTAAAGACTTGTGGACTGCTACTCTCAGAATTCCTCCTCCAGCCATGTTAGCTCAGGAATTCTGGGAGTTGAAGTCCACAAGTCTTAAACTTGCCAAATTTGAAGACACTTCTTCTAGTTTTTCTGCTCACCAGACTAGATATACCCAATTCATGCAGCTGTTCTTCATATGTTTCAACTTCCAGTCCCCTCATCATCTTGGTTGCTCTTCTCTGCACTCTTTCCAGAGTCTCAACCTCTGTTTTTTTACAGTGTGGCAACCAAAACTGAATGAAAATATTCCAGGTGTGGCCTTACCAAGGCCTTATAAAAAGTGGTATTAACACTTCAGGTGATCTTGATTCTATCCCTCTGTTTATGCAGCCTAGAACCACGTTGGCTTTTTTGGCTGCTTACACATACACAGAGAGAGAGAGAGAAAGAGAGAGAGAGAGAGAGAGAAAGAGAGAGAGAGAGAGAGAGAGAAGGAGCGAGAGAGACAGAGAGAAAGAGAGAGAGAGAGCTAGCTCATATTTAAGTGACTGTCCACTAGGACTCCAAGGTCCCTCTCAGCGTTACTGCTATTGAGCCAAGTTTCACCTAATCTGTGTCTTTCTTTTTTTTTTTTTACTTCAAGCAATGGATTCTGCACATCAAAGTGGGAAGATATTTAAAGCAAGTTCCATTTCTTCCTTATTTCAGCCTCATTGCTTTGGTTCATACGTGCAATCTGATGGGGGATCCCACCATTTTCAAAGGCCTTAGGCAAAACACGTCCTGGACTGTTTTGAAAGCAACCAATCCAATGCCACTGCTGTCATCACAAGCTGTTTTGGGGGTGGGGGGGTGGGGGGGGGGAGATGCAGCTCTTTTAAGGGGTGACGTTTTTGTGATTCGGTATATTCTGAAGCGGCTACGGGAGATCAGAAACGGATGCCTGACTTCGGCTCTACTCATTAGCCTCACTCTTGAGACGGCAGCCGTATCTATGCGTCACAGGTCCACGAGATGGCGATTTAATATCAAATCGCAACTTTAAAGTTAATTTAACGCTAAATTCCCTGCACGGCTCGTTGGATCGAGGATTTGCAAGCCAATTACAGGTAGTCCTACACCTACAGCAGAACATTTTAGGCACCGTTCAAAGTTACAAAAGTGACTTACGGCTGCTTTTCACGCTTAACAACCATTGAGGCATCCCCTCGGGTCACTCGATCAAGATTCAGAGGCTTGGCCAAACTGACTCGAGTTTATGACGGTTGCAGGGTCCCGGGGTGTGTGTGTGTGTGTGTCATGTGATCCCCTTCTGACAAGCAAAGTCTGCAGGGAAGCCAGATTTGCTTAACAACCGTGTGACTAATTTAACCAACTGCGGCGAGTCACTAAGACAAATGTAGCAAGGAAAGTCGTAAAATGAGGCAGAGGTTCACTTTACACCTGCCTGGCTTAGCAGCATGAATTTGGGGCTCTGTTGTGGTCGTAAGTTGAGGACTACCTGTACGCTGCGGATGCCAATTGGTTTCTTTGGGGGTAACTACCAATAATCTATCTACATATATCATATGTAATGATATCAGACACCCTCTGTGTATTTTGAGCTGCGATTCTCATTTCCCTTTTCTGTTTACTAGAACGAAAGAATTGGAAGGGATCTTGGAGGTCTTCTAGACCAACCCCTTTCACAAGATCCTATTCCATTCTGGACAAATGATTGAGTAAGGCTGACGAAAACAGGTGTTCACACTAATGAGCGGGGTTTTAAGGTTCTCCATGGATGGACACGGTGGAGAGCCCCTTCTCTCAAGGGCTTTTTTCCCAAGAGGACTTTCTGGTTGTTCTCTGAAGACCTTTCTCTTCTCACCCAAGAAGCTTCTTCAGCTCTGACTGGATGGTGGGGAATGGAAGGATTTGTACCCCTTGCAGACAGCTGGTCATTTGCATCCTTTTAGAGGGTCGTTGAGGCCACTTGGAGAACCCTCAGCAGAGCAGGAGGCATACGACATCTATCTCCAGTCTACAACACCGTCCTTTCAGCAGTTCCAAGAAGGCTCCGTACCCGTTTGCACTACCCAGGTGACCCTGAGGGACACAGACCAACCTCCAAGTGGCCTTAACGACTCTCTCAAAGAATGCAAATGACCAGCTGCCTGCAAGGAGTATAAATCCTTCCGTTCTCCACCACCCGGTCAGGGCAGAAGAAGCTTCCTGGATGAGAAGAGAAAAAAGGTCTGCAGAGGAAAATCAGAAAGTCCAGTTGTCTCTTGAACAAAAGCACCTTTGGGGCAACCATGACCTTGGAGGACGGAGAATCTCCAGAGACATTTCTCTCAAGTGCCCCAGAGATGGTGGTTCACCTGGTTTCACATTCAAGGAAAGAAAAACAGGGCACTCACTGAAGTCTATGGAGATGTCCATCTCTCTCAGCTCGGTGGTTGGTCCTTTTAGGACAGGTAAGGCTTGGCAGGTGTCCTGGCATGGTGCGTAGGCCTGGTCACCATCGGAGTAGGCCTCTGGACTCCCAGTTGGAAGGTAATGTGGAGGGCTGTCTAGCTGATCAGAGTTTCGATCCTCAGATATGCCACTGTCACTGGCAGCTGGAGACCAGCTCGGAGAGTCAAGGACAGTGTTTGCCGCTCCTAAGATGGAGTTGATGAAGTCTTCGTTCTCTTGAGGGTTCAGCAAATCCTGCTGACAGAAGGGAGAGGTTCTCTGTGAAAAAGCAACCTTAGAAAGCAACCTTCCTACAAGGAAACAAAGCTTCAACAGAGCAATCTCAAAACTAATTTCCTCTTGGAATCTTACATAAACCATTAATATCATGCTGGACATTTTAAGGAGGCAATATAAGCCCTGAAACGGAATATTCTTAGTTTTCGTTAAGATGGTATCCCTCTGAAGAGTCTTTGGTGCTTTCTGAGTTTGGTTGTTTTTGTTAGAAATTCTGTTTATATATAGCACCACACAGAGCAAACAGTCACCATGTGCTTTACTGCTCAACTCTATAACTGTAACAGGAAACAGGAATAAAAAAAAGAATAAATGAGCATAGAGTATATACCATAGCTCCAAACTTGTAAATACTGCCATCTACTGGCTGAATGCTACTGTACTTGTTACATAGAAATACATTCCAACCATGAATTCCAACAGTTTTTCTTACAGATGTTTCATTACCCAAACTAGTTAACATCATCAGTGGTTTATCTAGTTTGGGTCATGAAACGTCTGCAAGAAAACCACCAAGCTCAGAGAGCACCAATGACCTCTCATTTCAACTCTGAGCTACAAATATCCTCCTTTACTGGTATCTCTCTTCCTCCCCACTGCTGTTCTGTTACTTTTAACGCAAAATAATGAGGACATTTCCAATTGGCAACTGCCAACTGCTTTAGTCAAGGGCGCTGTCAGACCCACAAGATAAGCCAGGTAAGGAAAGAGATTCTACAAATGATACCGGACTTGGCTGATTCAGGCAATAATAGCATAATTTTGAAAGCTTAATGGTGTCTCCCTCTTATACCAATGAGAGTTAAGATGGGGCAGTCTTGAGTTTCTTTCTAACACTTTTCTGGGCTTAATTTGTGCTTGGTTGCAAGTTTATGTATTTCTTCTCCAAGAAGTGTTTTAGTGTTACTCCTAAAATTCTATTCTATGTTATTCTATTCTATTCTTTCGTTATTCTCTACTCTATTCATTCCTTTTTTCCCTATTCCTATTCTGTTCTGTTCTGTTCTACTCTACTCTACTCTACTCTACTCTACGCCACGCCACACCACTCCACTCCACTCCACTCCACTCCACTCCACTCTATTCCTATTGTTTAAGTTCCTCTTATTTGAGATATTAACCTTCAAGTGTTGTGCTACCAAATTTTGCTCCGAGCATAGAATATTTTTTAATGCTTTTGGCCCGAATGGAGCAGTTAACCCTATTCTCCTACCTATTGCTCAGCTGCTGCCTCCCCGCCCCTTTCTCATCCTGGTGCCGCCTGCTTACCCTGCCTTCTTGGGCCATCCAAGGGGCCTCTGAGGATCCCAGCTCCACATTGCGAAGGACTCCGTCCTGCCCATCAAAGAGGAGATCCAGCAACTCCACGCCATCAAGATTGGGGCAGGCCATGACTGCAGGAGAGAGAAGATGAGTTAGAGGCTCGGGAGTGGCTGCTTCTTAGGCAGAGTAGGGTGGACTCAACGAACAGAGTAGTTAAACCATGGAGTTAGTTGAAACTATGAATGGAAACCAAACCAAGGCATCAACTCAGTTGTCACCTTATGCCATGATAAGGTTTGCCGGTTTGGCCTAGCAAGTTATGGGGAAGGAGTAGTTGTGTCTTATTTTCCTAGGTCTATAGTACAGTTGCTGTGGTGCGTGACCCCAACCAGATTACTGTTAAATTACAGGTAGCAGCAGCCAAGAGCTGTGGTGGTGCAGTGGTTAGAGTGCAGTACTGCAGGCTAGTTCTGTTGACTGCCGGCTGCCTGCAATCTGGCAGTTCAAATCTCACCAGGCTCAAGGTTGACTCAGCCTTCCGTCCTTCCGAGGTGGGTAAACTGAGGACCCGGATTGTTGGGGGCAATAGGCTGGCTCTGTAAACCACTTAGAGAGGGCTGTAAAGTACTGTGAAGCGGTCTATAAGTTTAAGTGCTATTGCTATTGCTAATACTCACTATGACCAATCTGTTACAGCTGAAGTTATGTTCACAGAACGGATGATTTTTTACTTATAAAGCACGCACATTTTGGACAGAGGGGATCTTCGGTTGGAAAGAAGGGTCAAAGAGGCCATCTATGGCAAAACTGAACAGACTTCTCTTAACAGAGGAGGAGGGATGTGACATCGTCTGTCTCCAGTCTGCAACACCATCAGAGGTGATATTCAGCAGGTTCCGACCAGTTCTGGAGAACCGGTAGCGGAAATTTTGAGTAGTTTGGAGAACTGGCAAATATCAATTCTGGCTGGAGATTTTACAGTATTCTTCCCCTGCCATGCCCACCAAGCCATGCCCACAGAACCAGTAGTAAAAAAATTCGAATCCCACCACTGAACACGGTCCTTTCAACTGTTCCAAGAAGGCTCCACACCCATTTGCACCACTCAGGTGAGGACACACATAAACCTCCAAGAGGCCTCAACAACTCCCTAAAAGGATGCAAATGACCAGCTGTCTGCAAGGTGTATAAATCCTTCCATTCCCCCACCATTCAGTCAGAACTGAAGAAGCTTCTTGGATGAGAAGGGAAACATCTTCAAAAAATAACCGGAAAGTCCAGTTGCCTCCTGAAAAAGCCCCTTTGTCCCAACCATGACTTGGATGATCTCCATAGAGAGAATCTTCTGGAAAATCTTTCAGAGACAAATGCAGAGGACTTCAACATTATTGACAAACATCTATTTATCCATTTAGTTTGATGAAAAGTCCCAGGAAAAACACAAAATCTTCTGGAAATCTTTCAGAGCCAAGTGACTTCGGTATTATTGAATACAGTATTAAAGGACGGTATTAATATTAGAGAGCTACAACTTTTATTTTGCAGGCAGAAGATTACATTATTTATTATTCAATTTATTTACTCTAGGCAGCTCAAAACCGTAAAAAGAAGAAATAAAAGAAGAAAAAATAGAAGAAATGAAAGAAGAAAAAATAGAAGAAATGAAAGAAGAAAAAGAAGTTTAGAAGAAGAAATAAAAACAAAATTTGGACAAAGCGTAAGTAAAATAACAGAGCGATAAAATAAACAAGGAAAAAGAAAACCAAGAATATAAATCGATACGAGTAAATTAAAAAAAAAACCCTCCATATTCTCCACCAATTCATGTAAACAAAGCCCAACCAAAAAAAAAACAGATAACATCACTTGTTCAAGGACTGATTCCTGTTTCACCTCTTCATTTATGATCATGAGGACTGGAACCTTAGTTTATCTTCAAGGAAGGATGTCCTAATGGAAAGGTCTACCAGTTTACCTGTCCCAAGAGAAGCTTTGGGCTCTCCCCCGTGTTCATAAAGTATGAGTACTCCTCGACTTATGACCACAATTGAGCCCCAAATTTCTGATGCTGCTAGGCAAAACGTTTGTTAAGTGAATTTTGCCCCATTTTACAACTTCTCTTGCCACGGTTTCATGGAATTGTCTTTTTTTAGGTTCGAGCCTTCCATATTACGCCCCCAAAGGTGCTTTTTTATCAAAAGGCAACCAGATTTTGTTTTTCTTTAAAAACATTTCACTTCTCATCCAAAGAGCTTCTTTGGCTGAACTGAACAGGAGCTGGCATGAGAAGCGAAATGTTTTCAAAGGAAAAAAATAAACAAATAAAGTCCAGTTGCCCTTTTGGAAGAAGCACCTTTGAGACTACCATGACCTGGATGACGGAGGATCTCCATGGATATATTACCATCATGCTATTCCAGAATGTAATGGGACCAACTCGTCACGACCAACTCGCCGCAGGACAGCTTAATAATTCAAGCAGGACAAGAAGCCACGGATGGAAACTATAATCCAGGAGAGAAGCAACTTGGAACTAAGGAGAAACTTCCTGACAGGGAGAACTATTAATAAGTGGAACTTCATAACTTGTGGGTGCTCCAAGGCCTCCAAGCCCCCTTCCAACTCTGTTATTCTGTTAAATTCTGTTAATAAATAACAATTCCTGTATTCTCAGCACAACAGATATCCTGCCAATTAAGGCTTTGTACATTTAGTCTTCAAGTTTGCACCCAAATACACCGCAACTACACCCAGTGATTTGGAGGACGTTTCCAGCTTTGAAAAATGTAGTAAAAAAATAAAGCTGAAGAAATTTGAGTAGTTTGGGGTTCTTCTCGTCTGAGGCCGGCCTTCTAAAAACTGCCATTTGTTTGCTTGTCTCTCGCCTTCTGATTAACAGACTTATCTCCACGTACCACTCACTTTGCGCGTGTTTCTCTTCCCTGGCCTCTGCCCTCTTATTTGTCCTGCACTTGTTTCCAAAGATGGAACCTGTGTTAATTTGGAGCAAAGAACCCGAAATTGCACCAACCTTACCCACTCCTGGCAGCGTTCTCCAGTGTTGATTCGGTTTAGCCAATTGTTTCCAATCCCCAAAAAAGGTTTTCCTTGCCGCGAAGTTGAGTACGGTTATTTTCTTCTCCAGTCTCTGGTCCGTCTGTCCAGTCAAAACCTCTTCTTTTTTTTTTTTTCCTACTAGGTGGCAAAGTTTAAACTCCAACGATACAAAAATAGCGTCAGGCTCATTAAATCCCTCCCTTTCGTCCAACTCTCCAATGGGAGAAAGACTGTCAGCTCAGCGGGCAGAGGCATGAAATAAGTCAGGCGATCATAACAGAGACAAATTGGGTAACCATTATCTAAATAACTTTGGTCCATCCTGCCTTTCGTTTCTAATTTGAGTGGGCGCTAGGCTGAGAGGTCCAAAGTCTTCGGCTGGGCTGTCACAGTGACCTTCCACCTATTTTTCAAAAATAATTTTCACTCCCTCTTTTCTCAAAGGAAACAACAATAGCAAGCTCATAAATTGGATTTTAATCACAGTGGCCTACCGATCTCAGCAGTTTACAAAAGGCTCTGAGAACTTTACTGGGGAAGCACAAAACGGCACAGGGAGCCTGGGGCACGCTCAACTCTTGTCTTCGCTGTTTAATGCACCTGTAGGATACAGAGTCGCTGTTATCAGTGAGGTGGTTGGCATAGAAAATACATTTTAAAAAAATATATCAACGGGCCCGATCCATGACTCAAAGCAGCTGTAAGATTCCTGGGGGCAATCTTCTTTTTCAGCATTGAGAGACCATTTTCAACGGTCTCGCACCTGCTGCACGATGGCAGGGCTGGTTCGATGATGATTCTGGTTTTAAAAGTTACCAGATGGTAATGCTAAGTCATGCTTAAGAAATTATTGTTACTACTATTAGAAGCCAGAGGAATACTAACAGTAAACACAAGGGTAGAAGATTCTTCTTTTCTTTCTCTGCAGTAGTTATCTTCGACTTGTCTATCATTTTGGCCTTTAGTACATCTTTTGTCTTTTCCAAGCGCATCAGAAATGTTCCATGCCTTGGACTGATAATCCAGAGAGGTGGCCTGACTTTTTCTGAACAGAAGCTAGTTGCAAGAGGTACTCTCCTAAGCAACGCATCTGTTCCTCTCCTGTATATATATATATATGTGTGTGTGTGTGTGTGTGTGTGTGGGCAAGTACTGGCAATTTTGAGAAAAGCGGAGGATTATATTAGTAACCGTTAGAAAAGCTGGAGATGCAGCCAAGGAGAAAACTGCACAAGGAAAATCGTAAAGGTGACTGCACTTAAGAAAAGAGGGAAGAGGGCACCACTGGTGGGGACAAAAAGTTAATCCAACCAAATGTGCAAAGTACCGTGGTGATAAGAATGGCAAAAGCTTATTTTTCTCATCACATCCAGCTGGGGGCCCGATTCTTTGCCGGGGAGGGAAGGTTCAGCAGAAAGTCTTCAGAGACACTAGAAAAATATTCTAGGCAGGTGCCAAGTAAAATTGCTCGGATCTGCTTCGAACTGGTTCTGCCTGGGCCAATCCTTGCAAATTTGGCTGAGACAGTATCAGTTAGGTGAGACATGCTTGACTCTATAACTCCTAGGAAGTGGCCAGGGTCGCTGAGGGGTGTTTATCTAACCCCTTGTCTGCTAGATTAATGCCCCTCCTGGTGGTCAAGAGTTCCTGGGTCACAAATGTGGTTGGATCAGGGGGTGGCGGCTGCTTCCTTGAGGGATGAGGTGCTTCTACCTTGAACAAGGCCACTTCTGGATCCAACAATTCAATGTCTGCCCATTCTCCAACTTAATTTTCTGGGGGGAAGTTTGAGGAGTTGATCGGATTTCAGCTTCAAGGGCCCTGGCAAAAATGGATTACCTGGACCTGTCCCAGGCAAACAGCGATGGCACTGATTGTACTTGTTGATTACTATTGACAGAGATAGAATGATGCAACACTCCTGATTCTTTTCTGATCTCTCAGCAACTTTTGGCACAATTATGCTATCCTTCTGGATGGGGACGGGGGGGTGTCAAAGGTAGGAGACATGTTGCAGTTGTCCCCTTCTCCTCTACGCAGCCGATTTCAGCTGCTGTTCGTGAGATTGAGAAGTCTACCCTACGGCCTGGGATAGCTCGGTCCTTTTATTTGTCCCTTTGACATCAACATGAGACCTTTGGGGAAGGTCATTCCCTCAACAGTGTCAAGTATTCTCAATAGGCTGATTAGATCCAGTTGTACACCTCAATCCCGGGTTGTGTAAGCAATGCTTTCAAGATCTTAACCCAGGGCTTGGAAGCTGCGGGTGGGGAGGAACAGGCTTAAACTCAGCCCTGAAAAGACCAAATGGTTGTGTGTTCCTTTTTCTTCTAGTAATGTGGGATTTCTGTCTTTAGGTTCTGGATGGAGTGGCACTTCTCCGGACAAATTAGCAGGTAACCTGGTGATCTTTCACAAAACAGGTGACTGTAATAGCCAGGAAGTCCCTTACCTAAATTCATGTGATCTACTAACTAGTTTTATGTATCTTGAGATTAGATAAGAGTAGGAACAAATGGGAAAGGCTACATTACCGCCGGTAGAACTAAGGAAGCTTAAGTCTGTCTCAGTAGGCTAAGGACAGGACAAAGCCAACAGCATAATAGAAAGCAGGACATGGCAGAAAGAAGAGGCTGCCGGAGAAGGTTTGCATCATGTCTGATGCCAGGGGAATGACTCTTGAGCATTTGTCTCAGACTTTAAAGCCTGTTTCCAAGATCAGTGAATTTTCCAAAATGGGTACTGTCCTATTTATCATCAGTATACATCTCTCAAGCATTAATTCTCCATTTAAGACTTACAAATATACTTCTGGAATGAATACAGCTTTTCAGAAATTATGCTATTAAGTCCGTCCCACATTGCTTGGTTCAAAAAGCCTATCATTCTAATGCTGATAAGGTTCGGTAGATGATAGATTTGAATCTACTTTTGGTTCACTAAATATATCAACAAGGATGTCAACAGTTAATAGCAAAAACAACAAAACAATTCTCTTTTGTTAATCAGGAATGGATTTTTCTATGGACAAAATGTTAACTCTAATTCTGAATGGGCTCAGAATTCTTTAGATAAGCCCCACGTTGTATGATCTTTAGAGTCTAGTATAAAATAAATGCAATCTTTCAAACCTACAATTCCTATATACCTATATTCCTCTAAACCAGTGGTCCCCAACCTTTTTTGTGCCACGGCCCGGTACCGGCATCACAAAATGATCCGCAGCCCGGTACCGGCATCAGCAAGCATGACAAGGCAAGGCGAGCCGAGCGACCGGCCAGCCAGCCGCCCCCCACTTCTCCCCGCCACCTTCAACTCCTCCTTTGTACCTTTGTCGATGGGCTTCGCTTTGGGACGGCTTTGGGACGGTCGCTCGGCTCGCCTTGCCTTGGGTGCTGAAAGAATCCTCGCGCCTTAGTTTCGTTCAAAGCCCTCCCCCTTCGATGAAACTAAGGCGCGAGGATTCCTTCAGGACCCAAACGCCGCTTTCCAACCGGAAAAGCTCACCCAAAAGCACTTTCTCGTCAAACAAGATGGCGGCGCCCAGCAAACCAGCGGCCCAGTAGGAAATGTTCCACGGACCGGTACCGGTCCACGGCCCGGTGGTTGGGGACCCCTGCTCTAAACTATACAGTACTTCAGCATACTGCAAGCTACTTCTGCTGCAGCCAGCTGCCTATAATTTGGCAGTTCAAATCCCACCAGGCTCAAGTTTGACTCAGCCTTCCATCCTTCCGAGGTGGGTAAAATGAGGATCCAGATTGTTGGGGGCAATATGCTGACTCTGTAAACCTCTTAGAGAGGACTCTAAAGCACTATAAAGTGGTATATAAGTCTAAGTGCTATTGCTATTGAGAAGTATCTTCCGTATACACAAAAAGTCTTAACAGCATATCACTGTTATTTTCAAGCTGATAAACTTCTAAGAAATTTCATTGTTTCCCAGAAGACAAAGTCTGAAAATCCAGACTTGAGGGCAGATGTGATATAACCCACTTCCTCCCTTCAGGTGACCAACTGTCCCCTAAGGGATCATTGCTGTACAATAAATGTACTTTAAAATATATTTTTTTCCAGATTTTGAAGGCCGAGCCTGAAGGAGCTCTGACCAAAGGTCTTTCCTATTTCTTGGCTTATTAGATGTACTTGAAGTAATCCCTGTCAGAGCAAGGAGAAAGCAGATGTATTGATAAAAAGAAATCAATCTTATCTTTGGATAACCAATCCATTGGCTTTACTTCTAAAGATAATTACGTAACTATATGATGCCAGCGCCAGCACATTTGTCAAGGTGCCCCTTGGACCCCAATCTTTGCCCTCTTCAGCCTCACCCTAATCACAAACGCTTTACTCATCTGTTCTCCAAGGTTACTTTAGTGAGAAAAATCAGCAACTACTTGACTTCACTTTGATAGGAGATAGAGCTCCTTGCTTTTGTGTCTTGGGCTACCCAACTCCAAACTTCCTACTTTTCAGAAAAAACAGCTCAAGCATGAACAGATTTTTAACATGCAAAAAAGCAACTAACATCGCTTATTTCTAAAGCACCAAAATAACATTTAAAACAATCCTTATTTTATACAATTCCTTTTTGCTCATTGGTTTTCTTTCTTTAGGATTTTTCATCTGAACCACTGCAGAGTTGTCGCAGTTAGTACTCCTAATATTTCTAAAGTAATGATCAAAAAGTTTTTTTTCCCTCAGGGCCCATTTTTAAAAATTATATATAGAGGACTCCAAAATAACTTTTTATATAGATATTTGTCAACATTTACCATATCAAAAATTAAGACTGACACATTCACTGCTGCCTCTGCTTCTCATTATTATTTGATGGAATATTAATATTGTATTCTTTTTCAACGTAGGTCACTATATAATTTTGATTTTAAGGAGCCCTGAGATGGTCTTGGCGATATCCTCCATGGATCCTAGGAGCACTGCTCTAAAGCACCATAAAGCAGATTACTTTGTTTATGTATTCATTTAGAGGGACGTTTGCAGCGCAAAGATGTTCAATAACAAACCTTTCACCTACATATCTATTTTAGTAGGATAGCTGCTTTAGTCTTTTGCAAAAAGAGCAAAGCCAAGGCTCTTGTTAGATTACTCCTGGATTTGAACAACCTGCTGGTCATGTGCATCCTTTTTGACCACTGAAATTGTTCAAGTTCTGGTCCTGTGGCAAAACACATTCCTTTTGAATGTGTATGCTTCAAAACCTGCAGTAAGAAATTGTGAGAAAAGATACTGGTTTACTACTTGGTTTATATTGCAAACTGGCTTAATAAGATAATTCATAAGTAATTTCTTGCTATTTTAAATACAGGTAGTCCTTGATTTACAATAGTTCTTGTAGGGATGGTTCAAAGATACAGCAGCACTGAGAAAAATGATGTATAACTGTTTTTCACACTTATGACCGTTCTCCATGGTCAGCTAATCAAAATTCAGATGCTTGGCAAGTGACTCATATTTATGATGGTTGCAGTGACCAGGGTCACACAATCCCCTTTTGTGATCTTCTAACAAGCAAAGTCAATGGGGAAGCCAGATTCATTTAACAATTGTGTTACTAACATAACCATTGCAGTGATTCACTTAATTGTGGAAAGAAAGGTAATAAAATGGGGCAAAGCTCACTTAACAAATGTCTTAGCAACAAAAAGTTTGGGCTCAACTGTGATCATAATCTGTCTTTCAATCTATACCAGGAAAACAAACCAGAAATGTAAGAAATGCATCGCAGCATAATAAAAATGTAAAGCATTGTCCAGTTTTTTGTTCTTCACTGGTCCATGCTAGTCATGCTTAGTTAACTCCAAAACATAGTTATGTGTGCTTTTGCACAAAAAAATGCATAGTTGGATGCATAAAAGCAAAATTTTGTTCTCTTGAGAATAGGAATTCACATTTACTTTTGATTTCAAGACACCAGTTGTAACTTATAGTTTGCACAATAGGCATTTTGTAGCTGAATGTTAGTATTCATGCATACATCCTAAGTGCATAGATGTCTCAGGTATCATTTGTGAATATAATAACTTTAAACTAAGGTGGACTTGTGCAGATCTTCACTTTTATTTATAGAGAACTATAAACATTATATGAATACAGATCCATGTATATGGATGTACATTAAGAAATAAAAAAGCAGGGTGAGTTCATATGCATCAGAAGATCCAGAGTTATATAATGTGTTTCTTTCTCAGCCAGGCACATGTAATGCAACGCTTCTGTATGTGTGTGTGTGTGTGTTACATCAACGCCTCAACCTGTTGGCAAACCCTGATTTGTCTTTTATTGGAAGACGAGAGATCTGTTCTTTCTATTTTTAAGTGACTAAGAGGTGTTTGGCTGCCATGGGAATGTGGGGAGAACAATGTGAGCGGCTCAGCAGATGGATAGGGTAATACAGTGGGTGAGAATGAAAGGAACAGAACAATACTGCGGGTTGAATCTTCTTCTAGCACAAGTACACAGCCATTTTTCTCAGAGCGCCTGGCTGTGTTTCAGGTTGGTTAGATGGACATGTGGCTATTCTGTTAACAGTGCTGAGAAAAACTTAATGACAAATATAAAGGAGAGGTGAGACAAAAGAGGGATCCCTTGTTGTCTTGCTTTGGAAGATGATATTTCATACTCCAGTTCTAAGACATAGTAGGAGGCTGAGGAGCCATTTCCAGCTGTTTAATTTTGGCATTCAACAAACATGACGATTCTTGCTTCCCCCAGCATTTAATAGACTTTTATTGAAGATGCTGCCAATTTCCTATTATTGTTGTTTAAAAGGTCTTGTATTGACAGATCAACTTGTGGTTGGTCTGTGGGTTTTATACTTTCTGACTCTTGTGGCAGACTGCTCAGGGATGCATCAATCTGGGTGAAAAAACAGCAGCACAGCATTTAAAAATATTTAATTTTGCTGTACAGATTATACACTATTAAGTTGGTGTCAATTTTTAATGATCAGACAAACTTTTTCCATGAACTGTCCCCAAGTGGGCCTTCAGGTTTTCTCCAATGGTGCACTCAGCACTACTATTATCAAGTTCATCAACCTTCTTGCTGGTTCTCCTTCGTTTTCCTTTTCACCTTTCCCAGTTATTGACTTTCAAGAAAGCTACGTTTCAATAATTGGAGCCCAACCATCCGATAACTCTGGATTGATTTGTTCCCTGTGTTTGTTTCCCTGGATAACTATTATTCTCAAAAGTCTTCAACACTAAAATTCAAATGTCTCAATATGCTTTCTACCATTTTTTCTAACTCCAGCATTTGCTTTCATAAAGTCACTGAAATAAACATTGCCTCCTGCCTGATTCCAATTCTGATTGTCACCTCAGATATTTATATTCTTATTTTCTGAATTATCCAGCACATACGAGCAATAACGTTTCTTGTTCTTTGGCCTTTTCTAAAGCCTGCTCGAACGTATGGCATCTTCTTTCTCCTTTTCCTTCCAAGATCCAGGGAGGGTCAAAGCCAACACATCACTATATCCAGAAACGGGAGTGGGGCAGAACCCAGAGCCATTCTATCTTGTAAGGGTTGAGTTGGAGCCAATTCCTCCTTGTCTAAAGCTGCACCATTTCCAGGCACCTGCTCAATTCCTCAACAGCATCACCTGATTGGTTAGAGCTGGAGGCTTACATCAATCATCAGTGTACTCAGTATACAGGAAGTCTTCGACTTAATCACAATTGGGACCACAATTTCAGTTGCTAAGCAAGGCAGTTGTTAGAATAAGTCATGCCAGATTTTATGACATTTTTGCCATGATTGTTAAAGGAGTCACTGCAGATGTTAAGCAAATCGGTCATTAAGTGAATTGGGCTAACCCGACTATGCTTTTTGAAAGCCACTTGAGATCACAAAATGACAGTCACATCACCCTGCATCCACCATTTTGAGGTACACTGATGCTAGGAAAGTACATTTTTCCACACATTCTCTCTTCACCATCATTTTCAATGTTCCCCTTCCTTGCCATGGCCTTTTGTGACGTTCAGGAAGAAACTGACATTCGAATTTTCGTCTTCGCTTTTTCTTGAGCAGATGTTCCAGGACTTTTGTTTTCTGAGAGTTGAATCATCAGCATATTGAACCCATTTTTTAATTCTTCAAGATCTAGCTTCCTAGAGATCATTTCAGCATTCAGATTGGGTAAGAAAGGCAAGAGAGAATGCAACCTCCACATACTCCTTTTTCTGTAGGAAGCCCAACCAGGAGCATCTTCCCTGGGAACATTTCCTCATGATTAAGAAAGCTACTTTTGGGTAAGCAGCCAAACGCAACAAACAAACAAACAAAAAATCCCAGTTGCCATGACTCAACTTCCAGATTTCCTCATGAAGCATTTCTCTTGTAGGCAAGGCCAAAAGCGGGTTCAGTGTAAACCCTGGTTTTGCCGACTCAGCAGAAAAAGAATCATTTAAAAAAAACATTTGGCGGAGTCCTTTGTTTGAAATTTGCCCACAGCACGGGGAAATCAGCAACCGAACCGTTTACTTCGCCTCAGGCTTGCCTTCAACTGACAAGCTTCTGCCCTCGCGCTAAAAAAAAAAGCTTTCCCGCCTTATTCCACAGCTCGCTGTGCACATGCGCCAACCTTTCCTGTCACGGTTGGGGACACCTTTGCTTTCAGGTGGCGCCCTCCCCAGGTCCATTCTCGCGAGACTTGCTTCCTTTCTCCTCCACCCCTCTCAACTCCCCTCCCCGCTCTCTCCGCATGCGTCTCTCAACTCGATGTCCCCTCTCTCTCTCTCTCTCTCTCTCTCCACACACACACTTCATTAAAGCCGTTCGACCAATCGCGAGCTTTCTTCAAGCGGAGCGGGCGGGCGCGAGCTGTCTCGTTTCTCCTGGCCGGCTCGCGCGCCCCCCCCCCCCTTTTTTTTTCCCGCCGCGGGCCAACCGGGGGAAGGGGTCGCGTGCGCGCGCGCCTACCTCACCCACCCACCCCCACCGGGTGAGCCGACCAATCACGAGGCGGCGGCGAGAGGCCTCAGCCAATCGCGGGGCGGCGAAGTTGGTTGGGAGGAGAGTTCTCCCTTCGCGCGCGCTCGCGCTTCGGCCACGCCCCCTTGTTCCTCTCAGCCTTCTTCACGTTCCCTTCAAGGCTTTTTTTTTTTTCCCTTCTTTTAGGCCTCGCACGCAGCCTCGGCCTCGCTTAGGGCAGCCAAGCCGGGCGATGACGACGACGGCGTCGCCGCTGCCGCCGCTGCTGCTGCTGCTTGTGAGGCGGGTCCCTCGCTAAGGCGGCCACGGAACGCCAACCCCGGGCCTCCGCCGCGCTGCCATGCCGGCTAAAAGGAAACTGGTGCCGCCGGCCCTCAACATCACCCCGACCATCGCTGAGGGACCTAGCCCCACCGGCGGGGAGGGCGACGGCTCCGAGTGAGTTGGGCTGAGCGAGTGGAGCGGCGGTGACGGGTCTGAGGGGAAGGGCGAGGTGTTTGTGAGGGGGTGAAAAAAAGGAGGATTTTCCTCAGGGAAAAAGGGGCTGAGGAAAAGGTTGTGGGACCGCGGTGAGGTGAGGATAGCTGGCCGTCGGTCCTCGGAGAGAAGCATCCCCAGCCACGACCACGGGGAGCTTAGTTGGCTGGGAATGGGGGGAGTGGGGTGTCTTCCCTCAAACTGAAAGCCCCAAAGGCGGAGTCCGAGGCGGGGATGGTGGTGGTGGAGAGAAACTTCATTCACCTTTAGGTCCAGGAAAGGGTGGAGGAAGGATTGGGTGAGGATGCGCCCCGTGGGAAGGAGGAAGGAGGTCAGGCCAGGCAGGTTCTTCTGCCCCGAATGGGCTCGGGATGCCGATCAAGGGGAATATTTGTACCTGGGAGTCGAAGTGAGGGGGTCCTGGGGAGTCTCTTGAGGATGGTGGCTTGCTTGCAGACGTTTCAGGACCTAAAGTGGGATAATAAATGGTGTTATCTAGTTTGGTCGTGAGAAAGGCTATCAGAGAGTCCCAAGGAGCCCACAGCCACAATTCCACTCTACAAACCCCAACATCATTCCAGCACTTACGATATTACTTAGTTTGGATCATGAAACGTCTGCCAAAAAAAAACCTCCACCAGAGAGTCCTAAGGACGCCACACCGTCCTTTCTCTTCTCCTGCACTCCACAAACTCCAGCTCCCATCTGGCACTGCTGATGTAACTTACTTGGGTCATGAAACGCTTGCAAGAAAGCCACCAAAGCGCTCAGTGAGAGCACCAAGGACCCCACAGCCATCATCCTCCCTATTTTCTTCTCCATTCCACAAACCTCACTCTTCTATCATTGATGATACCCAGTTTGGATCATAAAAACAGTCTGCAAGAAAACCACCAAGCTTAGAGAGCAACAGTGACCCCAGAGGCGTCGTCGTCCTTCCATTCCACCAACCCTACTCCCTTCCAGCACTGATGGTATTACCTAGTTTGGGTCATGAAGTGTCTGCAAGAAAACAACCAAGGACCCCTCTAGATCCAGAATGATGAGAATCTCCTATACGATAGGATCGCTTATAGGTATAGGATACGTGGTTTGGACTAGATCTCCAAGGTCCCTTTCAGCCCTATTGTTCTTTATTCTGTGAAGATTGGACAGACAAAAGGGATGTAATAGCTGCTTAGACCTGGTGAAAAGACCAAAAGAAATCAAATAACAATTCATTTAAAAACCAATGAAAACAGGTAGTTTTATCACCTCATATTGGCTGGCCAGGTGTTCTGTAATTAAGGGAGGAGGATTTGCTTGATACATCTCTTGAAAGAAAACAGTGTCGCCACCTTTCCTATTAACTCGGTCTACAGTGTGATCAACCAAAGTTGTGACGAACAGATGTTGGAGAATGGAATGCTTCCTATCATGTTTGACAGATAATAGAGATGTTAACGTAAGATAGCACCAGACTCTAGGACCTCATTTGATTGATCAGTTGGAGCACACGCAGGAAGAATTTAAAGACTTGTATGTCTGCCCTTAAAATAATCTTGGAAAAATTTTGCCTAAGTAAATCCTTGTTGCACTACTCCAATTGACTGTTATGCATGAGAAGCAATAGTTCATTCTGTAATGGCTAAAAGGCTGTCTGGAACAACTTACATATAGATTTAAAAGATGTTTTCATTTTCTTTCAGCATATTTTATATGGCACGCTATTCTTCAAGCTCATTATAATGCTCTTCCAGACATTCTTGCTCAGATAAAATGAGGCATTCAAACAATATTTAAAATGCATTTTACAATAATACAAAGCAAGAACTGAGGAAATGATTTATTAGAATTGAAGTACTGATACTGTATAAGAGGAAGAATGAACTGACAAAGTAATGACTGGGGAGACAGAAGAAAGAATGTTGGATGTTTTAAAGCATAATACTTGGCAAATTTACTTAGAAGGTGACTATCTTAATCCAATGGGCCACACTCTCAAGAAAGTGTACTTAAGGTTTAGCCTTGAAAAAGGTCCATGATGAGAGGGATTGAAGAGGTATGTAAGAATAGAAGTGAAGCTTGGGCTGACAGCAGTGACATTCAAGATTTCACTTGTAGAATGATATATGTTGAAATGTATTTTCATAAATGTTGAAGTGTTATTAGTTACAGAAGTGAAGAACAACTGTGAATGACCTGGAAAGGAATAATTGTAATGAGACATCTTAGCCATGTAAAGGATGAAGCCTATATAGAAATATGGGCAATTGGCAAAAGGAATGGATGAATAGAGAATAGAATAGAGAATAAGAGAGTTGGAAGGGACCTTGGAGGTTTCTAGTCCAACCCACTGCTCAGGCAGGAATCCCTATTCCATTTCAAACAAGTGGTTGTTCAATCTCTTCTTAAAAGCTTCCAGTGTTGGAGTATTCACAATTTCTGGAGGCAAGTTGTTCCACTGATTACTTTTTCTAAGTGATGCTATTAAAAGTACTGTGTTTAAAGGTTGCAGCATTTCATAGTTAATAGATGTATTTTTCTACGTTTTTAGAAAGTGTTGCCAAACATAAGCCTTTTGCCCTCTTACTGATGATGGAGTTCATTGAAACTGCTTGAATTTTTTTATAGTGTTATTTAAAATAAAAAATAATAGGTGTGTGTATGTATATGTATGCACATATGTATGTGCATACATGTAGTTAAATTATGCTTTAATGACATAATAATAACCAATTTAGATTATTTTAAAAAGCGACTAGGGACATCCAACCTTGATAACTTTAAGACCTGTGGACTTGAATTCCCCATGCTGGCTGAGGAGTCCATAAATTTTAAACTTGCCAAGGTTGGACACCTATGGACTATGTAAAACTGGAAATCCAAATTATTGGTAAGATGCTGCTGATTTTGTAGTGGAATAATATCAAGATTCACAGGCTTGAATAATTACCAGCTGCTGTGGAGTGACAGTGGAACAGTTGCCTCCCTGTATTTTTAGCTTCCAGAACTGTTGGCCCCTGAACCACATAGGATGCAGCACTGAGAGGGTCTCTTCTCTGATACAGCAAAGTTTTTCTTATGATCTATATTAGTATGGTAGTGATCCACATAGTTAAAATAATTTATTAATCTGCTTCTGTACTATTGATAATTTAGAAATGAATGCTGGAGAGAGAGAATCAGTGTTAGTCCAGAAAATGAGTGTGTGCCATAAAATGTTTAAGAAATGGAGTACGCATAATGTAGCATGGAGAGGAAATGAGAAAGAATTGGAGGTATTGAGTAGAGAAATTGTGTGGAAAGATGAGCAGTAGTTTAAAGCCAATAATAAAAGAACTGAATAGTAATTATTACATAGTTTTATCCTGTTTTTTCCAAGGAGTTTAGGGTACTATTACTGTAATGGCATTATCTCTCTCTTTGTCCCCCCCAACTCCCCCTGGTTTTCACTCTAATGCTATTCTTGTAACAACTTTGAACAGTTGGGAATATGGAAATGTGTAACTAGGACCACCATGTATTCAGATTCTTGTGCTGTTTTTAACCGCAGTCTATAACTAGCTGCAGCCATTTTGTGAATTGATTTCCCTCATGGCAGTTAGTTTGTGAGGGTACAAATGACACTTTCACAAAAATCTTATGCCATCTAAGCTAAAAAAATTGGAATGTATATGTATGTACATACATTTTAGTATTTTACTGTTTATAGAAATTCCTGTTCAGAGAGCTTAAAACTTAATGTGTATATGTCTCACATAACTCACCCATACACTCAGGTGTAATTATGGTGTATTTGCATAACCTGCTTATCCCTTATTAATTAAGCCATGAGTTACTTAGTGACACACTGAAGCATAGAAAGACATCCTCACTGGATTTGCATAGCATACTATTAAAATGTCCAAATTCAGTGTCACATCATACCAACCTAAGAAACATGCAGCATACAGGTAGTCCTCCGCTTAGGACCACAGCTGAACCCTGTGTTGTTAAGCAAGATATTTCTTAAGTTGTTTTTGCCCCATTTTACGACATTTCTTGCCACAGTTGTTAGGTGAATCACTGCAGTTGTTAGTAACAAAGCTGAATCCGGCTTCCCCATTGACTTTGCTTCGCAGAGAGATGCAAAAATCACATGACTCACGACATTGCAACTATCATAAATGTGAGCGGCTGGATTTTGGTCGCGTGACTATGGCAATGCTGCAAAGGTCATAAGTGTAAAAAACTATCATAAGTCACCTTTTTCAGTGCTGTTGTAACTTCAAATGGTCACTAAACAAACTGTTGTAAGTTGAGGACGACCTGTAATAAGGTATGAGACTCAGGGTCCGTGACCTTTATGAGTGGTAAGGTACATGCCTGAATAGAGATTTGAACTTGGGACTTCAGTCCCACACACTTATGATGTATACCGGAGATCCATGGGGTGGAAATTTAACAGATTGTGGATTGTTTAAAAAACTGATTGATTTTCATGGGAAACTAATACTCTGGTTTGGCTATAGGAAGGTATTTAATTTAAAGGGGGCTGCAAAGTATAAGTAAAAAGGTAAAGTTTCCTTGCCTAGTCATATTCCGACTCTAGGGCATAGTGCTCATCTCTGTTTCTTGGCTGAAGGAAGACAGCATTGTCCGAAGACATTTTTGGACAACGCTGGTCATGTGGCAGCACGGCTGTATGCCGAAGTGCACAAAATGCTGTTATCGTCCCACCGAAGTGGTACCTGTTTATCTACTCACATTTGCATGCTTTCGAACTGCTAGGTGGGCAGGAGCTGAGGCAAGGAACAGGAGCTCGCCCCACCGTGCAGCGCTTGGGTCTTGAACCGAGGCTGTCTGCTTTCTTTAACCCTTATAACCATGCAGATAAAAATGGGTACAGTATGGGAAGAAGGGCAGGGTGCTGAATATGTGAGTTGCTGATGGCGGGAGATATGTGTGCCTCATAATAAAATTGTTCAGATTGATATAGC